CTATGTTTGAGACCCTTTTGGAAGAATCTGGATTTCAAATCTGAGGTCTGAGAAAACCCAGAAACTGCTAGATTACAACCTATAATATCAAGCTTATTATTTCCAAGAAAAAAGAACATGTTTTCAGAGAATCAAGCTCAGAGACCTGGGTTCCTATCTCTCCAAGATCCTGTTTCCCCATCTATAAAACAGGAAGGTAGTGACTGGATTAGCAACTCTAAGGATCCTCCCTGAGTGCATGTGAACAACTTTGGTGTCTGGGAGCTGTGGGTAGGCTAGCCTGAAAATGCTCCTTTCTCTTCGCAGATTTGCAGCAGGAAGGGCCAGCAGCCAAGCTGTAGGGCAGGTGGGAGAGATTGGGAAAAGGACAACAGACCCCAGGACAGGGATTTAGTCAGGACAGAGTATAGGAGTAGGATGGCTCAACCCTCCTTGCCCCATCCCCAGAACAATGGTGTAGAACCCCCAGGGAGCACTTAGAGCAGGGGCAGCACTGTGTTAGGAGGCAGAGGTCTGTGGGGTCCCATATGCCATCACTAATGGACTGGGTCCCCAGTAAGTAATAGGCCTGTCTGTCCATTTATGTCATAAGGGAGAATCCAAACCAGTGCCAATGGCAAGTGGGGGCAGTCTGGGGCCACAGCTCCCACACTGGGGTCCGAGATGGCTTGCCCACCAGCAGTTGCCTGGGACAAGTCCTGAACTAAAGAACATCATCAGAAGCAATTTGTATTAGTCCATTCTGACACTGCTATAAAGAACTACCTAAGATGGGTAATTTATGAGGAAAAGAGATTTAATCAGCTCATATTTCTGCCAGCTTAACAGGAAGCATGACTGGGAGGTCTCAGGAAATTTACAATCATGGCAGAATGCAAAGGGGAAGCAAGCACCTTCTTTATATAGTGGCAGGGGAGAGAGAGAGAGAGAAGGGGGAAGTGCCATGTGCTTTAAAATGATCAGATCTCATGAGAAGTCACTCACTATCCTGAGAACAGCAATGGGGGAAATCTGCCCCCACAAGCCAATCACCTCTCACTGGGCCCCTCCTCCAATTCGACATGAGATTTGGGCAGGGACCATATCACCACCTGCTCCGTGGTCTGTGCACACTTGAAACAAGTTTCCATTTCCCTCTAAGAAGCTCAGAGGCCTGTAGGGTTTGGTGGTTCACTCACCTGAGATCAGCTCCATTTCCCTCTAGGAAGCTCAGAGGCCTGTGAGGTTTGGTGGTTCACTCACCTGAGATCAGCTCCATTTCCCTCTAGGAAGCTCAGAGGCCTGTGGGGTTTGGTGGTTCACTCACCTGAGATCAGCTCCCCAAAGGAGTCCCTGAGACCCCAGCATCCAGAAAACGCTTCCTTTCACCAAGTCACCCCCGAGGCTATGTTTGGTGATCACCGCTGACCCTCCCTGCTCTCATAACAGGGCCTGGCACACCACTGGCAGGAAGAAACCTGAAAGGAATTAAAAAACAGGATGAATGGAGGTCAGATAAAGCATCTTGCAATAGAAAGAAGGAGAAATGCTCTAAAGACCAGAAATCAAAGCCTAACTTACCCTTCTCAGCCAGTAAAATGTTACTCAGCTACTAGGCTGTTTGCCAAGCCTCAGGATCCTCATCTGCAAACTAATGATCCTATGATACTCTTGTAGAGGCACTGGGAGTGCAAAGCAGATAAGCAGCTGTAAGGGATGTCCACGTCTTGTTCCCTCCAAGCCCCTCAATACAGCCAGCCACCACAGGCAACTTTCTACAACCCATACTGATCAGATTATTCTCTGTTAAAAGCTTTCCACAGCAACCTGGATCAAGGACATGTTTCTTAGAGGCTAGAGTGTACTTTGTGTTGGATGCCATGAAAACAATGGTGGCGTGACCATACGGTGCTCACATCCAGCTAAGGGAACAGCCAAGAGTTAGTGTCAGGGGACTCAACTGTGAACCAGAGAGGTATTAGCCAAGATGGGTCTTACAGTACAGCAGTGAGGCCAGTAAGTGGATAGTGTTAATGGAGTATGACAAATAAGGACCATAACCTATTGGTTATGGCAATAGCATAGCATGGCAGGCCACCACAGGAGCAAAAAGGAAGCTACACCTAATCGAAGTGAGGGGCAGAAAAGGCTTCCTGGAGAAAGGGCTTCTTGTCAGTGCTTTGAAGGATAAGAAGGAGTTTTTGAGGTGAAAGGAGAATCTCACCATTCTCTTAGTTAGAGCTTGGGCCCCATTCACTCCCATTCACAGTGACTGGGGTTTTCTGCACATATCACAGCAAGTACCCCCACCCTATGTGTCTAGGGCCCCACCTTCTTTTTAGGGTGTGTAGGCGTGTTATGGCTAGGGAAAAGGGACTATCCACATAGATGATGTCAGAAGGTCTGAGCAGTTTGGGGGCAGACACTCTCC